AAAGACACTCCTGGAAATTTGAGTCTGAATTCCTCACTTAACATCTCTAAATTTTATACAATGTAGATGCTAGTAATAATGATAATACCCACCTCAAGATGCCATGAGGTGTAAATTTAAAAATCCATGGCAAAGAAACTAGTATAGTACCTGGCACATGGTATGAGTTTAACAAATGCAAGTATCTTTATCATCGTCTTACCTAGCAAGGGTTATTGTGTTCTTACTCTGTAATGGTTCATTTTTAAAGAATATTTTGCATTCCTTCTTTTATGTGAATCAAGGGCATTTTTATTCTTGAATTTTCAAGAACAAACATACCAGGCCTAGAATCCTACCCAATGTAAAGCCCTGGGCTTAAGTAATTAGAATAAGAGTTTCTTCCAGAACTGAAAATATCTAAAGTATAGTACAAACATAACTTGTCCAAGCATGCAATGTGGAAAATCCAAGACAACAAAAGCATTAGGATAAGTCATATGGAGCCAGAAGCATGGCTGGAGAGAGCATAGCAAAAGGGATTGATGGGAAACAGCCTGGCAGCTCCTTCTTTTGTCTAAAGCAGAGATTGCCAAATAACTAAATAGCCAGGAAGCTATAGATGACGGGTTTCATTCATCAAACTTACTTTGAGAACCTTCCATGGGAAGGGACTGATATCGAAGAGTAAAAAAGAAAGTAAATTTCAAGAAGAGACTCATCTGCTTGGGAAGATAAAGTTTGTTGACAACCTTACCAGTGAGACAGCTAGAGACAGAAGTCATGAAACACTACTAGCAAAAATAGATGGGGATTCAAGAAAAGACTCAGTCACTTATGCCTGGAGAGTTAAGAGCTAACTCATCCAAAATGCTGTCCTTAGATGATGCACCTGAAGTTTTCCACCTCCCTTTGCTCCTATAACACCTTTAACTTCCTTCATTATATTTGCTAAAAGAAAACCATTCATCCCACTCACTGATGAGAGGCAGGGTAAGAGAGCGGATTCCAGAGCTGGAGTGCCTTGGTTCAAATACAATTCTACCACTTCCTAATTGTGGGTTCTAAATTAATTCACTTAACTATGCCATGTCTCAGTTTCCTTTTCTACGAAATGTGGTAAAACAGAAGCTGTCTATCAGGCCACTGTGGGCATGAAAGGAACTAATCTTAAGTGCTTACAGCATGACAGGCATACAGTCAATGCTACCTTTACATAATGCTATACTTAATGTGAGCTTTTACCATTGTCAGCACAGTAGCTGGACAGAGTAGGCATTCAGAGGTGTGCTGAATGACTACATAAAAAATGACAGAAAGATGTCGTACTTGAGAAGAAATGATGGAACCAAATTTCATTAGCCTGAAAAGCTAAGTTTGAGAACATCCTTCTCAAGAATATTTCATTTCATGTAGATGAGGATTGGGACGTACAGTTCCATGCCAATTCCACAAGTCAATCACTGTAAAAGTAACCTCATAGTATTTAATAGCTTTTGAGTTTCTATTACAAAAGGAATAGTTAAATTTATACTCTTTAAATGTTTTGGAAGCCAAAAAAAAAAAAGTATTTAGAAGTGTGTGTGTGTGTGTGGGGGGGGGGTTATCCATCTTTATTTCTGCTTTATTTACAATTGGAAAAACATGGAAGCAGCCCAAATGCCCAAAAGTAGATGACTGGATTAAAAGGATGTGGTACAGGGGCCTCCCTGGTGGTGCAGCAGGTTAAAGCACTGCACTAAGAAGCGAAAGGCCACTTCCGCATGAGTTCGATCCCCGCCTTCCCCGGAGGAGACCCGCATGGCGAGGCAGACCTCTCCTGACCCACCAGCTGCTCCCCTCAGCAGTGTACTTCGTCGATCTGCTGTTCTGCTCCCCACTCTGTCTCTGGTGAATCCCCTCACCCTCCACATCTCTGGCCTGTACCCCCGTTCTGTATAAATAAATAAATAAATTTAAAAAAAAAAAAAAAAAGGATGTGGTACATATACACAGTGGAATATTACTCAGAAACCAAAGAAAAGAAACACATGTCTTTTGCAGCAACTTGGATGGAGCTGGAAAAGATCATGCTTAGTGAGATAAGCCAGAAAGAGAAAGAAAAATACCAGATGGTTTCACTCATAGCAGGAGTATAATGGACCAGAGAACATAATAAGAATAATGAACAGCCATATACCAGAGACATTTTGTGGGAGTGGAGTGGGGAATGGGATCAAAAACGGGGGAGGGGGGAGGGAAGTGCACAGGACTATGGTGATGGCACATGGGTGACTTGGTGATGGGAAACCCATGGAGACTACAATTGAGATGAAAAAAAAAAGTACAAAATGAAGTTTCAGGTTGGAAGAAAACCTATGCACTAGCTAGAAGATGGGAGTTGTGACTTCTGAAATTTAGTCAAGAGCTAAGCCTCCAAATACAGACCTCCCCCAAATATTTCTTTAACCTCTGTTAGTTTTATGAATGTCAGTCATTTGTAAAGGACGGACATGAGGATATCACAAGATGAAATAGATACATCAGCTTCAGTTAGGTGTCCATCTTAGCTAACTATCTCATTATGCAGGAATGAGAGAGCTCAGGCTATATTGTTAAGCTTTCAGGCCTGTCTAATTAATTTAGCTTGCAATGGATTAGGTCCTTCTAAGTCTTTCACAGCCAAAAAACATTCTAATGCAGGGCCCCCTGAGAATGATGGGGCCAGCTGTCGACCAGCCCTCATTCGGTGCTCTTTCCAAGGCCTACAACTTTAGGTCCACACTTCAGTTTGGAACTCTGAGTCCAAACCTACAAGCAACAAGACATGTGGGATCACCACATAGCTGAGAATAAGCATTACTTAGGTATCTGCACTTTTAGAAAAACTCAGAGGCAGGTGTTTTTCCTTAAAATACATTGCTACCCCTCTTAAACGGTGTCCTACGGGTAATTTAAGCTTCTCACAAGGCCTAAGTATTATTAATAAGATCACTCTCTCCTGAAAAAATTATTTCCAGCAGGAAGGGCCACCCCCTCCATGTGAGGACGTAAGTTCCCAATTTCCTTCAATTAAGGGTACAGAAAGGCTTAGTAAGCAAAGCCCTACACAGAGCACAGACAGAGCATTACCTCAACATGGGTTTGAGGTTCTCTACTGAGCACCTCCGCTTCTTATGATACAGGTGAAATCTTGTGAGAGTTAAGAGCAGAGATGAATTCATGGTGTACTTATGTGCTTTTTTTTTTTTTTAACCTAGGCATAATACTATTAGCATTTTCCAGCATCATACTTGGAAAGGATTATGCCGTTCCATTCAGTACAGTGTATACAAGCATCAATTTCCAGACCACTGAACCAAACTTGGTAGCAGTAATATGATGCCCCCTCCTGGGAGAGCAGCTGCAAAGCTGGCGGTCTCCCTGCTTCCTGCTCCCCAGTGTCACGTCTCGCCCACCTAACTGTGTATGACACCAAGCCATTTTATCTCTCGTCAGGAGCATAATCACAAATTCATTCCCTTTCATCTCTCTTAAACATAATGCCTGCCAGTTCTTATCTCTTCTAGGCTGTAAATTACAGGTTTATTAAAAAGATTTGCAGAAATCAAGTCAACAGTTGGCATGAGAGTCTTAAAGCTCCTTCCATGCATTAAAATTCATGTACTTGGTAACAGCTATTTTGATTATAACATGTTTTGTCTCTCAGAAAGGATGCTGGAAGTTGAGTGCAGGATGAATAAGATGCTACTTTGGAATTACTGCTAGAGGGGACTTGAGGAAGAATAACATTTTTAGGATATCTTACACATTCCCCTCACCTTAAAGCTCATCTCATCCCCTGATATGATTTACTCTTTATTACTTTTGGATTTCTGTCTCTTTCTAGTCTTATCTGTGAGCTCTTCCCTGGCCATCCTGCAAATAACAAACCTCCATTCCTGTCTTTCTCTAGCATGCAGCCCATGCTTTCTTTTAGACACAGCATTCATCATCACTTTGCATACAAGGTATTTATTTGCCATTACTTGCCATGGGAATGGCACATCTATAAAGCAGTGGGTGCTCCATAAATACTTGTTGAGTAAATGAACCAAGCATAGCTAAATACTTCAAATATTATGTCATTTTTAATCCTCCCCACCCATCAAGTCATGCATTTCAAGTCTTTGTACAGACAGGGAAACTGAGGTTGTTACTCAACACTTGAAGACCATAATGTCACAGTCTGGAGCATGGACGCTTACAAGCTTACAAGGGCTACCTGGGCCACAGTCATCGCCCTTTGCTGTGATACCCACTGGCCCATCTGGACCTGGGGTTCCTCATCTATAAATGGCAATTATTATTGTAATAGCCCTACCTTCTGGAGTTGCTGAGAATAGCTTTAACATATAAAGACCTAAACCATTTCATGGCCCATAGTAAGTGCCCATCAAGAGTTAAATTGCTGCTGTGGAACCCCTTATAAAAACTACTTGCTTTCTCATTCTATTTTCTTATGCATATAACACCTCCACTTATCTGGCTCATCTGTCTACTAAGGAAGTACAGATGTGGTTACTTTGACCTATAAACACAGCTCCTTATTTCTCATCTTTTATCAGTCAATCTAGGACTCTTGTTTTCATGTGATAATAAAGCCATGTTCTGAACTAACAAGAATGAGGCCCAAACCCAGATAAATGTCACAAAGACATGCCTTCTCCAAACAATACCAGAGACAGTAGCTATTGGTAGCATGAGCTGCTTCCTCAGAAACCTTTCCTCTAATCAGCAGCAACAGTGAGAGATTACAGTTAGAAGAATTACCAGTCAAAAGTAAGTGTTTAAACCCGTCCACTATACACACTACTTCAGAACAGCGGAGTAGCTGATCGTCTTCATAAACGACCTGTTTGTCCAGGTTTTCCAGAATGAGAAGATGGCCGTATTTCACCTTGCAAAGGCATCTCCTCCCTCCCTTGACAGGCAACGTCAAGTGCCTCATCCCCTAGGAGCCACAGTCATTCAGCAGCTCCCCTCAGTGACGCCCTTGTTACCTTGCCTTGATGATCATGCTTCATCTCCCAGCCCCTGGGCAGCTCCAGCTGTTTGTTGGCAAACATGTTGAGGAATCCCACAAGGTCCCGGTTATGCTGGTAGCGTTCAAAGTGGTGGGTGTCCCGCCGGACTTTGGTGATCATGTGCTTCAAACACGTGTTGTTTGTAAACATGCGGTAGGCACTCTGGAGAAAAGGATGGAGAGTCGAAGTGAATGCGCTGCAACGTACAAAAGCAACATCTGTGCTAAGTATGGTTAGGGCTCGACTGCTGGTGAGGAGACAGGCTTCAAGGCAACTGCAGATGAAACAACTGACAGAGTAAAAATTTTTGCTTGACATAAAATAGACTGTAGAATGTCAGGTGGGCTTTACTAATGATGCCTACTTCCCTAGAGAACAAGAATGATATAGAATTTTATTCTATAGGGAATGTTGGGTCCCGAGGTTGATTTTTTTTTTTTTTAAGATTAATTTACTTGTGCATACAGAACTGGGGTACAGGCCAGAGGCTCAGGGGCGGCGAGAGGCTTCATCAGAGACAGAGCAAGGAGCAGAACAGGCAGATTGATGAAGTACACTGCTGAGGGGAACAGTGGCCGGTCAGCAAGGCCTGCCGCGCCATGTGATCACCGCCGGGATGGGCGGAGTTCGAACTCATGCTGAAGTGGTTTTAGCTTAGTGCTGTGCTTTAACCCGCTGCATCACCAGGGAGGGCCTGAAGTTGATTTTTGATAAAATCATTCCATGCTAGAGACAAACAGACCTCACATGAGCCCCAACATGGCTGATTTTCCCTCTAACACTGCAACACGTTCTTGGTTCTGTGAGTGAGTACCAGAAGCAGCAGCTGGTATACATTTAGGTTTCAAGTTGTATAGAAAATGATTGACCATATACTTGAAGTACATGCAATGGGTTGAGATGCTCTTACTTAGAGTCACATTGAGCTGAGACCACAATAGATTGAGGATTTTCACTCACATCTCTTTAGAGGTTACTAAGCACTGTGACTGGGATGACAAGCTGAACATACTGGGCTGTATACCCCATGATATATTTTTTCTTAGTCTTTATTTTTCTTGTGTGTGTGTGTGTGTGTGTGTGTGTGTGTGTGTGTGTTGAGAGAGTTGAATTTATATGATTAAACACATATTTAATAAAGTTGTACTAAACCCCACACAAAAAGAGTGATTCTTTAGAACAAAATTCTAGTCTTCATCTCTATAATACCAATTCCAAAAATTTACCATAATCTGTAGTCTATCTTTCCATGAGTCAGTCAACAATCATTCATTGCACAATGCCTTGTGTCAAGCAGAAGAAAAGCAAGAGTTATTTGGAACCATTTCCTCAATTCCACAGAAAGAATGTTACTTATGAAATTAATGAGACTGTGAAAGATTTATCTTGGAATTCACTTTTCAGACAGATACAAAGGACTCTGAATCCCACTTACCTTTAGTATTCTAAGGACCTAGACTGAGTTTGGAAGTCTTCAGGCTTTATTTCAACTCTGCTACTTTTCCTAGTCTGAGACAAACAAAGGAAAACCCTAAAGAAACTAGAATCATTACTTTTTTTTTTTAGATTTATTTATTTATGCATACAGAACTGGGGTATAAGGTGGTGAGAGGATTCACCAGAGTCAGAGTGGGGAGCAGAACAGGCATTTTGACAAAGTACATTGCTGAGGGGAACAGCGGGTGGGTAAGGAGAGCAAAGAGGTCGCTGCACCATGTGGATCACCTCTGGGGATGGGGATCCAACTTGCACTGAAGTGGCTGTGGCTAGCTTGCAGTGCTGCACTTTAACCCACTGTGCCACCAGGGAGGGCCCAAAAATCATTACATTTTAATAAATATTTACTGCCTGCTGTTCTTAGTATGCTGCTAGTTATTGAGGCTAAAAGGAGAGTAAGTATGATCATAGTCAACATTGCTTCTGTCCCTTTACGGTCCCTGAGGAGGTCATATACAGGTCAAAGCATTTATTACCAATGTGAGTTCTACTCAAGCTTCTTTCCTTTGGCACAGTAAGTGCAACAACTGGCAATGTTATATATTGTGGCTCCCCAGTCTGGGTCCCTGGATCCCTCAATGACTACAGTAATCAGGGAACACTTACTACCCAATTTGGACTGAAAAACAAGCCTTTGCTAGCCTAAGTCATGAGATTTGTTGGTTGCCATTATTGATGTGTCACCTAAACTCTATAAAACAATTTTTATGTAGGTAATCTGCATTATTTGCCATTATAATATAATTGTCACATTGCATTAAAATTTTTTCCCTACCAAATGAAAAGCAGGCAGGATGGAAGAAGACCATATTGAACAAACCATCTTTAAATACTAGTGAATTGAGTCCTTACTACACCCAATGAGAGGTATTTTGAGGTTGTATTTTAGCCTGATAAGCTAACTGAAAGGAGATTTTGAGGCCTGTGAGAAGTTGTGAGATTCAGGGCATGAAGCACTGCCAAAAAAGGCAGGCATATGCAGAAATTCTTGGCAATTAGGGAGCTCAAGAGAGTAAGAAAGTGATACCATGAAAGCAGAGAGGGAGACTAATAAAAGAAGTTGGAGGTTGTGAGAGACAAATGCTGGCTAACTATAGGTTAGCCTGTGGCTGACCCTGCCTTGGAGTTTTAAGTCCAATCAGTAAGGCATCTGTTACCTGCATTTGGCTCTGTGTTACTGATATATTTTTACATTGCAAGTTTAGAGACCTGCAACTAGCTAGCTTGTCTACCACCAGCTTGTGTGGTAGTGATGGTAATAAGCCTTCAGGTCTTACTCCCTATTCAGTCTCATCTGGGGTAAATTATTATGGGATAATTTTGTCAGCTAAACCAATACAGATACTGTTGTTCTAAATAGGTACATCTCTTGGTCCCTGTCACTTGTCCTTCCTCCTGTTAAAATAAATAAACAGGCCACATACGGATTCTTTATCTAGAGCACTAGAAATGCTCCTCACTCTGCTTAAGAAAAGCAGCAAAAACTTCATTAGGACAAGCAGCAGTGGTAATTAGGTGAAAGAACCCATCCCAGCCTCAGGCTTGAGGTAAATCCCTGGGGTTGAACAGCTCTTTAAGCACAGGAGTCTTCAGGCTGGTCTTACTTATTAATTATGTTCTTTCATCTTCCTCCTCTCCACTCAGTTAAGACATATAATATAGTGCCAAGTTGACTGATCTTTGCAAAAAGCATCTACCAAACTAAATTAAGTGTAAGAAAGATTTCTCTCATTAGTAACTAGCAAACAACCTTCAGAAGCATAGCTTTTTTTCCGAGTCTGAATAATATGCACGTAGCTACCAGGGTCCATACAAACCCCTTTAGGTAAACGGTAAGATCCCACTAGGCTAGTACATTTTTATAAAGAAACTATATTATGATAGACATATATGTATGCATATTAATCTATTTCTGAATATATATTTTATATATGTTTATCCAAGGCATATACTAATTTATGTTCAGGAAGCATATTTATATTGTAATTCAAACAGAATGACAGCGAAGTTCTAGCCACAGTTCTGACACTTATGGAGAAAGTCAAAGGAAGTCATGTAATCTCTGGCTCAATTTGCTCAACTGTAAGACTGAATAATAATGCTCCACTTTCTTGCTAAGTGGGTAAGACTCAAATCCAAAGGGACAAAGGATGCAAAAATTCCTTTGAAGATGGAAAAATTACTATAAAAACACAGAGTGGAGGTAAAAGAATATATAAGGGATTCTATTAACTTAGGTTAAAACAAATGAATAATAGTGAAACTGTTTTCTACTTTTGAAGATCACAAACTAATCCTACTCTCTATTATACTCCAAAAAAGTCTTATAACCTTCCACTAATTATGTGATAAATCCTGTGATAAACCCTATAGCTACAGAGATGAGCACTGCCTGATCACTCAAAAGGGATGGAGAAGGAAAACTGTAGGTGTGTGGGAGGAAGAAGTTCTCTGGAATCAAAAAGTAGAGATTGGGGGCCCTCCTGGTGGCACAGCAGATTAAAGTGCAGCACTAAGAAGCTAAAGCCACTTCAGCATGAGTTCAATCCTTGCCCTGGAGGTGATCCATGTGGTGCAGCAGACTTCTCCTGACCGGCCTGCTGTTCCCTCAGCAGTGTACTTCCTCAGTCAGCCTATTCCGCTCCCCACTCTGTCTCTGGTGAATCATCTCACCGCCCCTGCACCTCTGGCCTGTACCCTAGTTCTGTATGCATAAATAAATAAATCTTAAAAAAAAAAAAAGTAGAGATTGGAAAACAAGGGCGATAGAGACAGTGCAAATGCAGACACATATCAGGAAAACTACAAAAACTAGGAATAAGCATGGATTGAAGAGTCAAGAAACACTATGTGGGATTATACAGAGTTTACAATCTTCATGGAAGTTGATCACGACAAAGCTGTGCGTTAAGAGAAAAATGGGGCCCTCCCTGGTGGTGCAGCGGGTTAAAACACAGCACTGAGAAGCTAAAGCCACTTCCGCATGAGCTCGATTCCCGCCTGCCCCGGAGGTGATCACATAGTGCAGCAGACCTTTCCTGGCCCGCCCACTGCTCCCCTCAGCAGTGTGCTTCGTGGATCTGTCTGTTCTGCTCTCCGCTCTGTCTCTGATGAAATCTTTCGCCACCCCTGAGCCTCTGGCCTGTACCCAGTTGTGTATGTACAAATAAATAAATCTTTAAAAAAAAAAGAGAGAAAAATGGGCATTGTAGCCTAGTGTTTTAACTGGGTGACAGTTCAATCTATATTTGTGTTGTTGTTTTGGTCTGGTTTGGTTTTATAGAAAAAGATGCAGTAAAGGGATATATGATCTTTGACCTGAAACATAAACTAGATTACAAAAGGGGAGATGGGATCTATTTCATAACATAGTCCCATCAAAATGCACAGGGTAATTTCACCCAGGAAGGTACTGCCTGTAGACTCATTAGAAGTAGGGTAAGAGTTGATTGTTAACAGTAGACAGCGCCCTTTTATAATGGCCTCTAAAGGGAAGAAAGTTTTGCTTTCCTTTCTTGTGAAATCAATTTCCATTTTAGCTATACTTTCTCTATGCCAAAACCCTTTCCCAATCTCCCTCTGGTTGTTTCTTGTCTTTCTAACAAGAACTAAGCACTTAGGTGTTTGAATAAATGATCAACTGAATTTCTTTAGTGTAATCCTGTGAAAGTAACACCTCTAGAGTTTAATGTAGTCTCTTTGGTTAAATGTTTTTGGTGCTGGAAGGAAAGAATATTGAGAGGAATTGAGGGAGAAGTTATTGTAATATGGTAGAAGAACAAGAAAATTGTATGTAAACACTCAATTCTTATTAATGAACCACAATGCAAATAAGAATCATCTTTATCTCTTTATCTTAGCAGGCTTTTTATTGTTCTGAAAGTTTTATTATTTTAGAATACTATGTTCTATTAAAATAGTCTAGTAAAAATTGTTCTGTACCAATTTTTAGTAAAAAAAAAGCTGGTCTGAATTAGCACTGTAATGTCATGTTTTGTAAAATCATGAGTGGAATTATACCGCATAGAGAATAGGTATTTAAATATATATAAA